TTTTTTTTGGGAAAAATCCTCGAACAGGTCGATTTTTAATTTAAAAAATACATATTTTAGCATAAAAGGCGATTTTCAACCGTCATTTGTTTTCGAGTAATGACGTCATCGACATTTTTTTTAAATAGCAACCCACTATTTTTTTTCTTGATTCTGAAAGGTCGTTTCATTGTCGATCCGACAGTATAAAATGTTGCCGTTTTACATAGGAAAGTTTTCGAGTAAATGACGATTGAATGATAGAAAACGAAAATTTTATTCATTAAAAAAATAACAATTCCTATGTCAAACAAATACAATTCATTAAGTTTTCTACCTAAGTGTTCGAATTTATGGGGTAACTCTGTGTATTTCATCTATAATACAATTTTGGAGTTCTTCTAAATTCTGTGGTCTATTAACGTACACTTTGGACTTTAAGTAGCCCCATAAGAAATAGTCCAGGGGTGTAAGATCTGGGGATCTCGCGGGCCATTCTATCGGTCCTCGTCTGCCGATCTACCTCCTAGGAAAACAGTTGTCCAGAAAACCTCGAACAGGGCGCGCATAGTGGGGAGGTGCACAGTCTTGCTGAAACCATATGGTGTCATCAGGAATATCAGGGTCATTATCGTTAGGAAAAATTACTGCAAGCGCTGGAACAAGGTCATTTTGAAAAAACTCTAAATATCTTTCTCCTGTAAGGGTTCCTTCAAAGAAGAAAGACCGTACTATTCTGTTGTCAACTATTCCAGTCCATACATTTAATTTCTGTGGGTGTTGGGTATGTGTCTCTGCCATCCAATGAGGATTTTCCCGACTCCAATACCTGCAAGTTTGACAGTTCACTGTACCATTGATACAAAACGTTGCCTCGTCTGAAAGAAGTATTTGATGGTGTAAATCTCTATTTACTTGACATAAATCCATCATAATTTCACAAAAGTGTAAGCGGCGGTCGGGATCGTCTTCATTGAGTTCCTGCACATGTTGAATTTTGTAGGGATGTTTTTCCTTCCTCAGGGTACGTAGCACTGTGGTCTGACTAATTTAATTTAAGCTAGGTTAATGACCGAATAAGACGGTAGGTCAAGATTCACTCTCGATAAACCTTTGTGTTTGGGGGGGGGGTTAAATAATGATTTAAAAATATGTTTTTCAGCGTAAATATACATTTTAATTTTTTTTAATCTCGTATTCGTATTCTACTAATATTTCCTTATCTTCCCTTAAAATTAATTACATTATGACTAAATCACCCTGTATATTACACTCTACATTTGAAAATTATTTTAAAATACAGTTTTCTCTGCGTTTTTGATAACAATCGAAAATGTATTGTCATGTATATGTAACGAGATTGCCCGTTCGCTATCGATTATGCATTTTGAATCCAAATATTTAATTAGGTGTGGACGTTGTCGTCGTGGCCCCCGGAGAACTAACAACCGGCTCGTCCTGGCTGTCCGACCAGACCATCCTCGATCAGGCCAGAGAAATGTGGAAGCAGCTGTGCCAGGAGCAGAGGACCGAGTACGGGGAGGATTACTTCGAGAAGGCTATTAGGAGCCTGGAGAAATACACCAAAACTCAGGTAAGGCTTAATTATTGAACAGCACAAGTTAGTCTGATCAAATTAGATTTTTACGTGCCAAAATTTTGTTTAGGAAACAAAGACAAGGAAAAATTAGGAAAAATTAGGGCTCCATTTTTAAAATGGCGTCCAATGGGGCTCTTTAAAAAAAATGTAAATATTTTAGAAACAAATGTTTTAGACAAGTCATAAACTTTTTATAACAAAAATTTTGAGTCCATGTCAATTGATAAACAAATGTATTTGTTATTGCAAAAAAATGGCTAAAAATTGCATTTTTTTAAACTTCTAGGTATATCTTTAAAACGAAAAAAGATTTTTTTACTAACTTTCAGAATATTAGTCTGTGACAAATAGAATAAGTGTATTTTTGTAAAATTGCAAAATATTTGGTAATTTTTGCAAAAATTTAGTTTTTCGAAAAAAAAGGCATTTTTCCAATTTCAATAAATCATACAGTAATGCACTTAGGTGACCCATCTGGGCTTAAAATTTTCTATAAGGGTTGTACTTTCCTATGCAAATTGTGCGCGTATTGCAAAATAATTGGAAATATGCGAAAAAATCTACTGGAACTTTGACGTCTTTTTTCGGGTCCAAAAATGTAGATTTTTTTTCATTTTAAAGATATAGATATAGAAGTTTTTAAAATTGTCCCGACGTAACTTGATCTATATGGATTCATTTTCACATGAAATAAAAAGAGAATTATGATCGTTCCCCTGTACCACTGAGAATGCACCTTCTTTGTCTAATAATTTTTTACAATTACTCAAAATAACTTTGGTTTTAATTTGTAAATAGAAATTTTATTTTTTCCATATTAATGTTTGTATTATATAAGGCGTCAATTTAATATTTTCCACTGAAAAATCGCATTGTCCACCATAAAATGAAACTTTCATTGGTAAAAAATAAATAAGTCCTGGAAAANTGGCGTCCAATGGGGCTCTTTAAAAAAAATGTAAATATTTTAGAAACAAATGTTTTAGACAAGTCATAAACTTTTTATAACAAAAATTTTGAGTCCATGTCAATTGATAAACAAATGTATTTGTTATTGCAAAAAAATGGCTAAAAATTGCATTTTTTTAAACTTCTAGGTATATCTTTAAAACGAAAAAAGATTTTTTTACTAACTTTCAGAATATTAGTCTGTGACAAATAGAATAAGTGTATTTTTGTAAAATTGCAAAATATTTGGTAATTTTTGCAAAAATTTAGTTTTTCGAAAAAAAAGGCATTTTTCCAATTTCAATAAATCATACAGTAATGCACTTAGGTGACCCATCTGGGCTTAAAATTTTCTATAAGGGTTGTACTTTCCTATGCAAATTGTGCGCGTATTGCAAAATAATTGGAAATATGCGAAAAAATCTACTGGAACTTTGACGTCTTTTTTCGGGTCCAAAAATGTAGATTTTTTTTCATTTTAAAGATATAGATATAGAAGTTTTTAAAATTGTCCCGACGTAACTTGATCTATATGGATTCATTTTCACATGAAATAAAAAGAGAATTATGATCGTTCCCCTGTACCACTGAGAATGCACCTTCTTTGTCTAATAATTTTTTACAATTACTCAAAATAACTTTGGTTTTAATTTGTAAATAGAAATTTTATTTTTTCCATATTAATGTTTGTATTATATAAGGCGTCAATTTAATATTTTCCACTGAAAAATCGCATTGTCCACCATAAAATGAAACTTTCATTGGTAAAAAATAAATAAGTCCTGGAAAAAAGTCAGCTGGCGTGTTACCAGGTTACTTCTTTATTTATATTTTAGTAGTTCTTCCCGCAATGCGACCGCTATTTTTTTGCCAGCGCAACTTTCATTTATTCAGGTTAGGTCAGGCGTATAAATATCTTTTCACTTTGCAGCAGTAGGATAAGAACTACACAAATTGCAACAAAGCACTTATACGATCAAAAAAATACTTCTATTAGGATTTATCAATTATCACTCAACCTTCGTCATAATTGCATACATAGATTTTGAAAAACACCAATTATGTCAAAACAAAAAGTTCAATTTTGGAATGAAGAATATTTAATCCTTTTTTAACGATTTCAAATCAAACTTATCTGTTGATATAATTGGATTTAATATTACCCTCTGATTTCTTTGTTGTTGAGAAGTTTTTTTTGAAAGGTGTGAAGGCAATTATATTTTTAACTTTGTTCCAGAATAGAACTATGCTTTATTTATTAAATATATGTTCTACTAAAATTATGTCTCAAACTACAAACTTTTAGGGATACTGCTGCTTTGATATTCGCAGCTACATATAAATTGTAATTCCTGTAGAAAATCTAAATGTATATGTAACATTATACCACAAAAACACTTGCTGCGCGTTAGCATATATAAATATTCACTCGCGTTTCAAGAATATCTCGCAATCCGAGACGAGACGAGACGAGAAAACTGTTTTGGTAAGCTACGATAAATATCTGCCGGTGATTTGTTTGGGCAAATGTAGGAGACATTTACACAGAATTATGAGGCGCATAAACGACAGTACTCTGGAAAGAATAACAGGAAATATCAAAACAATGTGTGGAAGGAATCTGAGCTTTGATATTGTACTTTATTTAAATTTCGCTTGATTTGATAAAGGAAAAACAAAAACATATGTTGCGCAAGAAGAAGGAAAAATTCATTATAATTTGTCAGAGAAGAGTGATTGCAGTGTAAATTTCGAGATAAACTTCTTCCTCGCACATGTGTACCTTTCTTGTATGTGTACATGTGTAACACGTTAACCTGTGCATCAATTTCTCTGAACGGAATAGTTACGTCAGTCTTTTAATGAATCTAGTTACTTTTTAGATAAAATCTCAACTTAATTTTATTTCGATTTAAGCTGAAATCTTGCACTCTGCAAAACACGATCTAAAGGAATCTTTCAGGAAGAATTTTCATTTAACTAGGAACTTTTAAACTTGAAATTATATTTCCAGCTAATAATTCCGAACCTGTTCCCTGCGCTGATTATTATTTCGCGATAATTGCCTTTCAATTCCATAGCTTTCACCGGAAAAGTGTTCGTCGTTCCCCCCGATAAATTCTACGCGATTTGAACAAAAAAGCTATAATTGAACTTGCAGCATACGTTCCGTGATACAAAGGCAATTATTCTTATTCACCCAAAACGACAGGGGCCGGTGAAACGCTTTGAATTTGCATGGGATTGTAGTGGCTGGCGGGTGCATATAACTTTTCATTTTGTGGGTGTTAATTTACGTTCCGGGTTATTCCTTGCAAAGACATATTTCATGTACTTAATTTACGAAACCGAAAATATGTACGTAGGAATGAATTTAATCATTAGTGATGCTGTAAAATTATTTTCGCGTGAACAGTATGGGAATCTATAAAATCTGAAACCTTATAACTGTCTATAGTCTGTTTAGAAATGAAAGAGGGTAATAAAAGCTCATTATGTATGAAAATCGTAAATAAATGTTGTACTGGTGCTTATATTCAATATTTTTATATTATGCATAATCGGTATAGATGAGGTGTACTTTTAAAAATACTTTGTGCGATCGGACTGTACTAAATTGTAGCAGGTAGCAAAAATTTAATCCCCGACAATCCGTCTTTATCTATGCCGCTTCAATTTCTCGGTCCATTTCTCTTATAAGTAAACAATATAAAAACAGCATTTCAAAACATGAGGCTACTTTAAGCATCATAACCGGGTTAAGAGGGTTTTTAGTAATTCAAATAAAATTATTCAATATTATTATCAAAATATTTATTTAAATTTAATGAATAGACTTTTATTCCACACAAAAATATATGTATTTTGAAAATTCAAATTATGGTGAGTAAATGTAGTGTTGTATAAATGTACAATAAAGAAAATAAAAAAGTAGGTATATTAAAATTCATCCTCTGAATATTCTGATGAATTATCTTCGTCTCCTAGATTGATAACGATAGGTTCCACAGTAACGTCAATTAAATTATCGAGTTCCCACATTTTCTCCTCTTCTTTTTGTACATGATGTATACATCTTTGCCAGTTATCTGCAGTTACTCGTTCCAAGGAATTTTTTAACAAAATTTTCACGTCACTTAATTTAAACGTCGTATTATTTCGCGCTACATCTCCTTTTACCTGCGCCCAGACTAATTCGATTGGGTTAAGTTCACAGTGATAAGGTGGTAACCGTAGTACCGTTATTTGGCGATTTGTTGCCATTTCATCGATAACATATTTTTTCTGATCTTTATTAAGATTGACAAGTGTCAAAAGTTCCTTTTTCACCATATTTGTTTCAAAAGAAATGTTTTTTCCGGATAACCATTGAATTATATCGGCTTTCCTCCAAGCAGTCGTAGGCGTCCGCTCGGTCTGCCGTGAATGGTAACTGGCATTATCCATGACAATTACAGACCCCGGAGGAATAAGATCCAACATCTGTGTAAAATACTCTTCGAAAACATCTGCGTTCATGTCTTCGTGATAGTCACCTGTATTTTTAGATTCAAATAAAAGTAAACCGCCATCTACAAAACCACTGGCACTACCTATATGTGTCACTATTAATCTTCGCCCTTTACCTGAAGGTGCCTTGAACCCTGTTGAAAGTCCATCCAAAAATGCTTGTCGAAAACTTTTTACATTTTTATCTTGCCATACTTTTGTTACAGTATATCCCTCGTTGACCCAAGTTTCGTCTAGATAATAAATATTCCTCCCTTCGTCACGGAATTTTCTAATTGATCTTAAGTAGGATCTTCGCCAACAAATAATTTCATCTTTATCGATAAGAACTGACTTCCTGTTCTGCTTTTCCCAGCAAAAATTCAACTCTCGTAAGACGGCCCATAATTTGCTTCTACTGATTTTTGGCAAATCGTTGTCCTCTGAAAGTTCACTTAAAATTTTGTTTAGCGTTGGTATTTCTTTTTTAAAATAAAATGAGTGTACTTTTCTGCGAATGACATTTTTGAAGAAATCATCTATAACGACTTTTGACC